CAATTTGTGGAGGCTCCTGTTTCACAGGAAGTGCAATAGGTGAACGCTGTCGATCCCTGAATGATGATGGCCTTTCTCTTCGATTCTGAGGAGGTGCCGGAGGTCCTGGAGGTCCTGGTTGCCAATAAGGAGGATGAAATCCACCTTGCGGTGGACCAAAAGCAGCCCCATGCTGAAAAAGTATTGCAGTTTATTTTTCTTCACATTAATACAATCTACTCTCTGGGACACACGTGTGTTATGAACTGGGACAGTAGAAATCCATGTGTGCAGCAAATCCAAGAATTCCATGGTTCTAATATCCACCGATATTTCTGTAGCCCCAAGAACCTAGGCTTACTTTATGAAAGATTTCTTAACATTCAAGTATTTTCTGCCCTTGCAAATTCACAGCCTTTTAAAAAGCCATCTAATAGATAGTTTTTTAAAATTTCTGAATCCACTTATAAACTTATTCTATCACAAAGACATAAAAAAATGCCAATTGTTTTGTAACTAGAAAATGGAGACTTAAAATCAATTCCAACTTTTTACTTTTAGTACATTTAAGTAGTTCCTACACTCTTGCAGGAAACACCTATTTATAAACAAAGTTAGAAACTTTTGGATCATATTTAATTTTCTTGCAACTCTGCTATTTTCAGAGCTCACCTAAGTCAGTTGCCAAGAGAATGTAGTAAGTATGGAGATCTGCCATAAAAATGTGGTGTAAGTAGAAGCTTTCTGGGACTATATTCTTCAGAAACTAAACCAAACAAGTTATCATGGCTATATACCAATTATGCATATTAAAAAAGTTAAACATCTGACTATTTAGGAACAAGAGCATTCAAAGTGAATACTCATATATTGGTTTTGTTTATTTAAAAAACGTATTATTTATTAGGAAAATAATTGTACAGTGATTTTTCTCCTCTCAGAATTTTAAACTCTAATATTTCAGACTCTAAGGTAACAACTACAATTATTATTTTAAAATGACTTCTAGAAGTAGAATTTAGACTTTGGCAAAATAGGTAGAGAAAATAAAGCCCGCATAATAACAAAAATCCCCATAGAGTTCTATGTCCCTATAAATGACTCAGATGCTACAAATAATGTACAATTGCATTAACATGTCACATAAGAATGGGGAAAATGACACTAGAAAAACTACTACAATTTTATGCAGCACAAAGAATTATACTTCAGAAGATTCTCTATGCATTCTTAAAATACTTAAGACAAATCTTAGCCAAATCAACTGTTTACAAATAATGTATTCAACTTTGTGCCATTTTTTAAGCTTTAATATTTAAATGTCACTTTGAAATAATAAACTAAAAGATTAAATCAGATATCTACTGTGCTTTCATAGATCGAATTTTATCTAATTTTCCCCTAAAAACCACTTATATCACTTTCCTATGCAAATAAAAAAACCCAGAAAATAAAAATCTAATGGTTTTAACACTCAAAAAGTAATTTTCTGAGATATAAATCATGCTTATCCGTATAAGTCTGAAAAGCGAAACACATTATTTTAGGTACTCTTGACGAGACACTTCCAAAGAATGGATTACGTGCACATCTACAGTATTAAAGCAACAAAATATCTTTCACCTGATAGTCAAACTGGTTCACTGGCCCCACTGCAAAATTATCAGGTGGTCCACCAAAGTTGTGATTGTTCTGGTTAAATATATGCCTGTTGTCAGGGGCAAATTCCCCACTGTCCTGACTGTTGCTGTCTTCAGAAGGAGGAACAATGTCCATTGGGCCTGGTGTTGGTGGCATCCATGGCTGATCTGGAGGGGGGTGTGGGGGCTGCTGATGCATTCCCCATTCT